CTAATTGAAAAGCATTGACATGAATCAAATAATTTTGTGTTCTTTTCCAAATATAGTCACTATAATTTTTACAGCATAAAATATTCCCTTGCAATTAGTCCTTTATGTGTCTGAGGATACTCTGGTGTTGTCAAAATCAAAGTTGACCTTTAAAAACACCTGACCTGTTTCCTTTTTATAGAAAGCCACCCCTTTCTAACATTTTTTTTCTTTAAAATTTGCCTATTTGTAAGACATATTATTTTTGTCTATTTGGCATAAATATATGAGAGATATGCAATATAAATTCCATAATCATATTAGAAACAGAAGATAAACTTAGTTCTCATGGGTATCTTATCCCAATGTCCAAGTGTTTTTATAACATTTTTGAAATGTTTTCCTACCTTGTTAAAGTAATTAGGATGCCTGGTCCTTTTTTTCAATTAAAAAAAGTTTTTAATTAAAGTATAGTCAGTTTACAATGTTGTGTTAATTTCTGATGTACAGCATAGTGATTCAGTTATATGTATGTATGTATGTTCCTTTTCAAATTCTTTTTCATTATAGGCTATTACAAGGTATTGAATATAGTTCCATGTGCTACACAGTAGGATTTTGCTGTTTTTATTTTATATATAATAGAATCAATAAATCTCGAACTCCCAATTTATCCCTCTATCCCACTTTTCCCCCTGGTAACCACAAGTTTGTTTTCTGTCTGTGAGTCTGTTTCTGTTTTGTAAATAAGTTCATTTGTGTCATTTTATAAGATTCCACATATAAGTGATATCATATGCTATTTTTCTTTCTCATTCTGGCTTACTTCACTTAGTATGTCAATTTCCAGGCCCATCTTTGTTGCTGTAAATGTCATTATCGTTTGAAGTATATCCTTTTAACTCTCAGGTTTGAAGAAGCATTCAGGTGGAAGAAAGGAAAAGAAAAAGACGGTAAAAACCACCTCCCTGTTCCTCGGCCATAGCTGCTTCATCAGATGTTGCTTTCAAATGTTTCAGCACCAGATGAAGATTTTACTGAGCACATTAAGGGTCCAAGAACCGTACTTT